TGTATTGGTGGTGACAACCTCTTCAGCAGTGCCCCCTTCATTGTGTGACAGGCAGATAGCTAGGCTGCTCTGCTCCCTATTGTTAGGGGGCTGTCATCAAACCCTGCTTGTACCGCCAGTTATACTGCCTGCCCGTCTGCCTGTGTGTGTGTGTGTGTGTGTGGGAGGGAGACAGAGAGTTTGCACTTTGTTGAGCTTCTTCCTCTTTACGTAAAGGACACTGAGCATGTTTTTCTGTTTCTGCTAATGAATATGCTTGTTTATGCAAGAACAAGAATTTGCTGTGTGTATGACCCTACGTGCACAGGTACACGTATGTGTGTGTGTGTGTGTGTGTCATTTGTTTATCTGCGTCACAATGAGAGAGATGAGAGAAGATCAGGGCTGACAAGTTATTGTTTAACAGACTGATAGTGTGGCTGCAGTGCTTTACTGTACTCCCCTCTCCTCTCCATTGTTATGTGACTTGTCATTAAGCCCTTGTTGCCCAGTCAAAATGGGCAGGAGTGCTTGTTAGCCACAGTGCTGTCATTTGTGGAGAGGAGTAGGCGAGCCACACACACACACACACACACACACACACACACACTAACACACAGACGCAAAGGCCAGAGGCACAGAGTAGGTACTGCAGATGTAAAAAAAACTTTTGCATCAATGGTGCTTCATGTTTTATTAAAATTCTCATATGATACTGTGCTGGTGAAATTAGGAGTCCTACAGTGCCGAGAGAGCTAAAGAGAAATGTTCCCTTAGTTATTGAAAAATTACCCAAACCTAGTTTTTACAAATGACGTGAAGATGCAAACTCCTCTGTCAGTGTGTGTGTCTGAACTAAGAACTCAGTCAACTGAGCTCATGGATCTCCTTGGCCTTTTACTTCTTTATCTTTTATTTGTTCTAGTTATGGTCAGGTAATTCTTCTTGTGAATTAGAATTTGTTTTTGCCAGAAGCACCTAGAGTTACAAGATTCCCATTAATGGCACTTAAACAGAGAAGGGTGTTGCGGGTGCCCAGGGATTACAAATGCTCATTGAGACCTCCTAAATCTTAAAAGCCTGCTAAGCAAGCTGATTGTATGATCTTTTCAGGAGGAGGGTCTACAAAGAAAATAAAAGGTAATTTATGTATATGCTCAAAGTCTCAACAGATATTGAAGGAAAAGGTTAACACATTCCAGAATTAGCCTTATATACATTCACCTGTGTAGCATGGACAAGCAAAGTAAGACAGCTGCTTTGGAAGTGAGACACAAACAGGATCCAACATCCTTGACAGCGTTTGACTGTGGATGGACTGAGGTACTTAAACCTGAAACACGGGCCAACAGAGACAGACAGACAGAGAGACAGACTATCCCTCTGTGGTCCATTTCCTGTGTCAGTGGGGAACAAGGACAAACAGGTGACGTCACTTCCTGCAAAGGACAATCACACAGGAACAGGCCAGGAGCCTCCAGAAGTGCTGTCATCGCCATAACAACCCTGACCACGGCCAATAACACACACACACACGATGGCACTATTGTTAGCTCCAAACTGTCAATAAGCTTAGTTTATTGACATAATTCCGAAGCATTGTGTATTTCTGTCTGTTGGTGTGAGACCGTCCTTTTTCCCAGTATCACATCCTTAATGCATTTCTGTTTAATCAGTGTCATTGTTGAGTGGTTTCACATTGAATTTGGTAAAATTTCTGTCTCCTCTTTCAGCTTCATGCTGCTTTAAATGTGGTGTCTCTAACAAAGCTTACTCTTCATTTTAGCTGAAGCACATGAGTCTGAAACTGAAGAAAAACACTTTGACAGCGCACATATTTTTTAAAACGCCACCTTTAGCTTGTGCAGGTAAGGTGCTGAGATGCGTGGAATGTGTAGTTGCTGTGTCCCAGCTTCAAATCTGGCTGTCGTCCCTTGTGTTTGTCTTTTCCTTTGGTTCTTGTTGAGTCTCTACTATCAAATAAAAACAACACAAGCCCAAAAAGAAAGGAAACAACTCAACAAAACTCCTAAATATGT